TGTGGAATGTATGTAAAAGATAAAAGTGGAACGTATTTTAATGCAAATGAGGTTGGCAATGCGATGCAACGGTGTAGTAAAATTATAAACAAATCTAAATCTATAATTTATGAAATTCAATTAATTTGAAATGAATATATAAACATTAAGTTGAATACATTTATTTAATTAAAACAGAATAATACATAAGGAACCAGGTTCTCCAACATACACGTTTATAAAAAAACCATTGCAAACTGCTTGCAAGTTTAAGCTATATTCATGCTTCCTTTTGAAATAAGCCTAATTGCTTTGGTGAGGTGCATTTATTTTAACATGTGTGCTGTCAATCACGAACGGAAATTTTGCAATTGATATAAGCTAAATACTAGTTCTTTCAATTATTCTCCATACAGAAGCTTTTGGTATGCCAAAACAAATACCAAATTCGCGAAAAGTATTTATATTAGCCATATACCACAAAAATATGTAAATTTCCTTCATTGCTCTCGTTCAATTGTGACCACCACGGTTATTTTGTATTTGCTGATTGGATTTTATTAACAAAGCTATTAATATATGAAACATAATTAATATATAGCAATTGTATTTTTTATGCGCAAATACCAATCAAATAATCTTTAACGGAACAATTATTGATCGTTTCCATAAAATTTCCACTATATCCATGCTGATGCACTTCATCCCTGGAGCTTAATACACTTGAACTAGTGATTAAAAAGAAAATGGAGAAGTCAGTTTTGCTCGATAATTCTAATAAAATCTGCAATTTCCATTTATTTACTATAGAATTAAATTTAAGTTTTTAAGTAAATACTAAATAAAAACTTACATTTCATACTTCAGACATTTCAACAGATTTTATTTATTTTCTATTTTTTAGATTTTTTGTATTCAAAATTTTCTCATTTATTTTTTTAGCGCCAAAATTATTCACATAAATCAAAAAATTTTGTGCACAAACCCAACTGGCATAATTCATGCGTTGCCAATTATTTTCAAACGTGATCCGTATCGTTTCAGCAAAGATGATTCAGATCATTGAGCGGATCAGGTTTGCTGAAACGCAGCTATTGTTGTTTAGTAGATAAGTTTTAATAATATCTTTAATAGCTTCTGATGGTAGTTCTTTATACACTATTGTAGTGAGGTAATTTGAAAATAGTTTTTTTGAGTAAATTTTGTTTTGATTGCCTTTTATTAGTTTTATTTGGTGTTTATACACATTTAAGGGTTTTTCTGTTAGTGAAATATAATTTCCGTTATCTTCGTTTGCTGAATGTACTGTAGCTATATTTGAAGGAATATCTTTGTTGTGTTTACCTGATGTTAAAATTAGCGCCCTCAGAAACCGCTTATGGAACGGTGGCTAGACCGGTATGCTCGCCAGTGTTGGGGCGGGGTTCTTGGCAACTGAGGCTACGCTGTAGACAACAACAAAAAAATCGTGCCTTAGTTCTTATCCTAACTAACTAAACCTATCATCCTATCATTCATTAATATTTCATTTATATGTATTTATTTATATTCACTTAATAATTTAAATTCATTATTATTTCAATGCTTAAAAAAACAACTATTATTTACCTAATCCATTATACTCTACCTAAACGACTTCAATATTTCAACAAAAAAAAATTATTATTAAAACTACTATTGTTTATTTGGGTTTCCTAAATTTAAAGAAATCCTCATCGTATAATATGGGAAGAGTCTTGTCCTTGATATTTACTATTACTGCGGCCGTCTTAGGAAGCTCTGTATATACCTGGCTTACACCTAAGTTGCAGGTTCTACCTCTGGGTAACCCTGCTGCTTTCATTTCAGTTCATATGGACTCTTCTACTCCCCAATCGATGTTTTTAACCGTACCAGCCTGTATTGTCACGGTTTCCTCGAATACTGGAAATACTGGTAATACATCTGGTAATGCCTGATTACTATCCGTGAAACGTTTCATTATTTTTTTTTTTTGTTGGAGAAAAATATTAAAGCGTAAAATAAAAAATATATAAAAATTTCGGAAAAAGAGGTGAATACAATTTCGTTTCAGCGAATTTCTGCCTTAGGAAAAATAGTTGGATCGCCGGACTAACACCACCCCTTTATTTAGAATCAATAAAATCTCATACTGAACTCATAAAAAAAATATATACTTGTAATTTTTTTTTCTTTTATATTTGCTATAAATACAGAAATTCTTTTATAAAGTTTATAATATGATTTCGAACTAGTAGTAAAATTTTACCAAAATAATTACGCATATATAGATATTTATATTCTTCTACAATGTATTTAATAATTTACATATTTTTATTAATAATATAATAAATATACCGTGATTACAAAGTTTTTATTCATTTCTTTCTCAAAAAAAATTTTGTTATACATTTTTTTTTCTTTATTATGATAGTGATAATTGGTGTATATAAAAAAAAGTGATTGCACCGGAATATTATTTAACTAAAGTGAGAGAAAAAAACAGTTGAATTGCAAATTTTAAGAGAAAAATTGTAGCACTGATAATGAAAATAATACATAAAAAAAACATCAATTGTAAAACATTCAGTTTTTACAGAGAAACTTAGTTTTCTCTTTAAGTTTGTTATTTGTTCCCATAGCTTACCTTACAACCGCAAAAATGGCTATAAATTCCAAATCACAAACAAACAAATAAAGAAATAAATATATATCTGTGGTTGTAATTGATTTTTTTTTTTTTTGATATGTCTATAACTTTTTCTTAACTCAGATAAAATATGTATGAAATTTTCTGATATGTCTATAACTTTTTCTTAATTCTGGTATAATCAGGCCTATTCTGAATCGCATGGGAATGGGAGTTTGTTCCCTGTTCCCAAGATTGCTATTCTGAATAATTTGGGAATGGGAGTTTTGTTCCCTGTTCCCAATTTTGCTATTCTGAATCGCAGTAGTACAAAATTGGACTACAGAAGTTCCTGCAATACTTTCGCCGCAATGTTCTACAGCGCAGGCAACAAATACGGAAGGAGAGCGGTTTGAAAGTGAAGAAGCTTTGTTTTCTGAAGATCTGACGAAAACAACTGAACATACAAACATGCTTAAAGGACCGTCTAGCAATAGAAATATTGCTACAAATGTTTTAAAAGAAGTTGGTGTGCAAAGCGAACTATGTGACACTATTAAAACTGGACTGGAAATAACGAAAGAAATTGCAGCATACACAAAAAAAGTTGTAACGACACGGATTCGTCGTTTTTATTTTGCTGAGGTATTACTCAGTCGTGGTCCGGGTCGTAGCAATAAATTTCTATTGACTCGTTCGTAAATGGTAAATCAAAGAAAGTTAAGAGACCGTTGGTTGTGTTTTTATTAATATTATTTATTTTCGAACTAATTTACTCTAGTCTTGATATTATAAAATTTTACTTTACTTCCGGCCAAAGACGTCAGAACATCAAAGGCATTAAAAATCTACTCAATAGGTTTTTAGTCAAAGACGTCAGAACATCAAAGGCGTTATAAAATCTACTCAATAAGTTTTTAGCCAAAGACGTCAGAACATCAAAGGCGTTATAAAATCTACGCAATAAGTTTTTAGCCGAAGACGTCAGAACATCCAAGGCGTTATAAAATCTACTCAACAAGTTTCTACAGATTGATTTAGCCTTAGCGTCAAAACACTATGGGCTTCTAAAAGGGACTTAGCGCTGGAGTAGTGGTCTACTCACTTCGGTGTGCCGGTGCTAAGTGAATTTTGCATACAAAATCTCGTCTTTTTATATGCAATTCTTATTTGCACGCACAACCGCACAAGTGTAATTCCGCGTGCGTATGAATGTACGCTGCTGGCTCTAGAGCAAAACAGCTGTTGTGCTGGCTGTGCGTGTGGATGTTCGCTGCTGGCTCTGCTGTGCGTGTGGATGTTTGCTACTGGGTCTGCTGTGCTGGCTGTGCGTGTGGAAGTTCGCTGCTTGTTTGTTTACCATATATAAATAGAGTTTTATGCAGACGATTTTTAGTAAAAACAATAAGTTTATGTAGGGCGGAAATTTGTACAAAATTCCGTCCTTACAAAGTAGCCCGGTCTATTGATAAGATGAATGACAACTTCGAGAAAGCTGAGAAACGGAAAGAGAGAGAATTTAAGGAGCAAAAGCGACACAACATATGTATGGAAAAATTAAAGATGCGCAAACTTGAAAACCAAATCGAAACAAATCGTCGATTTATGGAAATAGAAGACCTTAAATGTTCAGATAATAATAATATTAATAAATTAATTAATAAATAAGATTTATTGTTAGTTTTTAAGGAAAAAATATTTACATATTAAATTTACATATTAAAAAAAATATAATAAATAAAATTAAAATAATTTATTTATTTTAAAGTTTTTAATTATTTACTTATAAACTATTCATTACATTATTTCTTATATTTTGTCCTACAGACAAATAATGTGATGATGTTTCAGGAAAAACATCTTCGTTAGAACTGCAGTCAGGAAAAACATCTTCATCACTACTGCAATTGGCTTTGTAATAAATGCTTATATTGTGTAAAGCACGACAAACATTTATCTTGGTGCTACAGCTCTCTAGCACCAAGAAGACATCTCCATCTATTTTTCAACACGCCATTAGTGCGTTCAATAACATTTCGGCACTTGGAGTGAATGTTATTAAAATTCATTTGCTGCGAACCTTCCTGCGGAACTCTATAAGGTGTCAAGAGCCACGGCTCTAAGGGGTATCCTGCATCACCTAGTAAAATAAAATGTATTTTTTCATTTGGCTTTTAACTTTTGTTACATTAAATAAATCTCACCTAGCAGCCAGAAGTTAGTTACACCACGTAAATACTCCTGTTCGAAGTGCTTTCGAAGATCGCTTGTGCTCCAAATAAACGCGTCATGATTGGCACCAGAATGAGAAGCGTCAACATAACGAATTTTTTGCTCATTATCACAAAGCGGCAAAAATCAAATTTTTATATAATTCAAAAACAACATTATATCAACTTACAAGCATGACGTTCAAACTATAATATCCTTTTCTATTATAGTAAATATGTTTATTTTCTTTGGGAGCAATAATCCGAACATGCGTTCTATCTATGCATCCTATAACACCGGGAATGTTATGCTTAACATAAAATGCTGCAGCTATTTTTCTTTTTTCCTCCGATGTCTTTGGAACCCTTATCCATTTAGGACACAAATGCGTTTCAAAAATGTTCAGAACTTCAGAAAGCACTTTACTGAAGGTAGGCTGAGTTAGAGCGACATCGTGGTCTTTTCCAACACCTGTCTGATAAGCTCCTTCAGCAAAGAAACGCAAACAAGCGCTCAATTTCACAATTGGAGCAACTGCAAACTGCTTCTTTGCTGGTTGTAGTTCCTCTAACAGGTAAATAAACGCTGGTTTATTTACTCTGTAATATTTTTGAAATCTATAATGAAGAAAAAGTTTATTTTAAAACCAAATTAAATTTACATTTGTACTTACAAGAAATTAGGCAGTTCAAGTGGATTTGCTGCGTCTCGAAAGTTTCTCCGATTGATCCTCTGTTGCAAAATTTCTTGCTCATGTTCTTGAGCCAAATCCTCCGCTAATATTCGAAATGCAATTGAATGCATTTTTAAAGTTTTTGAAAATTTCTTATATAAATGAACACCAACAACTGCACAATTCTTTTTATATGTTTATTTTTCTCATTAAAATAAAAGTTTTTCATTAATCACTTATAAAATTATTTATATTTATTTCTAATAATTTGTGCAGCAAACAAATAATGCGATTTTAACATTTAAATCAACATATGATACGCAATTCTTTTCTTTGTTTTACTCATTCTCTCACTTTTCGACATTAAAAAGTGGCATGATTGCCAAAATTTGAAACTGTTGTTGTTCCCAGAACTGCTGTCTCCCAAGCAATTCAGAATAAGGGAGTTGTGTGTTTGGGAACAGCTTGGGAATAGGGAGTTTTGTTCCCTGGGAGTATTCAGAATAGGCCTGATTAGGTATGATTTTTTTTCTTTTTCTTTGTTTGTGTTTCTATTGAAATTACAAAGAGACGCTTAAAAAAAAAAAATTTTTGTGTAGTCTTTTACTGCCTGATAATTAAATGAATTTTTATTTTTCTCTTTGTTTTTTTTTTTTTCTCAATTCAAATTTTTATTAACTTTAAATAATTTTTAGTTAAATATTTAGTTATTCTTGAACTTTATTAACTTTTATTAACTTTTTGGTAATTCTTACTTGAATATTTAGGTTACTTTTGAATTTGGTTCACTTTTGATAACTTTTCGTAAAATTTTTCTGTTATTTTTTAAAATTTTTTTTTTTTTTTAATTTTGAATTTTTATACACTAATTTTGAATTTTTATTCACTTTTAATAAAATTTAATAAAATTTTTACTAATTTTGAATTTTTATGCACTTTTAACAAAGTTTAACAAAATTTTAGCTAATTTTGACTTTTTATGCACTTTTAACAAAGTTTAACAAAATTTTTACTAATTTTGAATTTTTATTCACTTTTAATAAAGTTTTCTTTTATTGACTTTTAATATTGAATACGATCTGATATACACCACTTGCTGTTCCAAAAATAAAAGAGAGCTAATCAAGCCTCCGCTGCACAGTGTAACGTGTTCATATAACAAGCGGACAAAAATAGTAAATGTTATGCTATTTTCATGAAATTTTGCATAAAGACTTATATTAAGGATAATAAAAAGTTTCTGAAAAATGGGCATGGTCCGCCTATTTTTACGCCCACCTGCCATACAAAGTGAATGATCAAAATGCGCAAATTGGCTACAATTTCAATGAAATTTTGCAGGAATATGTGTTTTTATAATATGACAATATTTCTGAAAAATGGGCGTGATCCGCCCATTCTTACGCCCACATGTCATACAAAGTGAATGATCAAAATGCACAAATTGGATTCAATTTCAATGAAATTTTAGACAAATAAATGTTTTTAAAATGTTAACATATTTCTAAAAAATGGGCGTGGTCCCATTTTTAGTTTTACTGAAATTTAATGCAAAAATAATATTTATAAAAAAGTATCTGAAAAATTAGCATAAAATTCCTTCTTCTAAACCAACTACTTACAAATATAAAGCGTATAAAAAAGAGTTGTTTCAAATAATATATTACTTATAACAAGTTTCATGAGTTTTCATAATATATACATATATCATATACTCGTATTTCAATTACTTTATTCGCTTTCATCAGAGGTGTCACTGAATGTAATATTTTCTATATCAAATTCGGAACCGGAGCAATCTACGCTCTCTTCAATCAAATATTCCGCCATGTCATCATAGGCATGTGATTTCCTTCGCATTTGTTTCCTTTGCGAAGATATAAGTGGTTCCGAAGATATAAGTGGTTCCGAAGCTAATAATAAATGATTTAAAAGATCTTTATTCGATGAAACTCTTGATGATTTTCTAGTGTGGTTTAATCGGTGTTTTCGAAATTCTTTATGACTTGCTTCTATTGCATCTTCGGATAGAAGGCCAATTGGTATATTGAAATGTTGTATAACTTCACATCCATGAATCAGTATTTTATGTAAAGTTGCTGGCATATTGTACCATGAGTAATGTACTATATAAATTTCCTGAGTTTTTTGTAGAAGATCTTTAAATGTTAACAAATTTATGGTTTTACCACTTGATAAAATGCATAAAATTATGTACAAATTTTTTATAAACTCTGTGTTAACTCCAGTAATACTAGAAGCTAATTCAAATTTAGAGAAAAATTTTTTAGCTGTGTTTTCATCATTTGATGTTCCGTAGCCTGTTTTGACTCTATCTACAATTAATCCCATTCTATTTCGTAATTCTAATTGAATTTCTTTTTTATTTTTATTAAAAATTTCTTTTGCTTCATCAGTAGTAACTCTCCAGCACCCTAAAGATATTCTATAAGCAATTTTTAATACACACTCAAAACTTCTTATCCAGGCATGCAACGTTGATAATCCATACTGAAGATTTAATTCATTTGGTGGGCTTGTAATTGCAGTTAAAATATTCATTTTTGAAGGGGTGGCATTGCAAAGATAACAAGTACTACAAGATCTATTTTCAGTTAATACATTTACGACTGCTCCATCAATCATTGTTAAATACATTTTGAAATGAACTTCAACATCAAAGTTGTCAATTTTGAAATAATATGGTTCAAGTTTGTCGATTTGCTGAGACAAATGTTTTTCTGTAGATTGTATTAAATTTCGATTTTCTTTCATGAATATAAATTTTATTGGCCGGCAGTACATTATTGAAGAAGGAGTTTTATTTTCCCATACGAGATCATTGTTGATATTATTTGTCATTTTAAGTGGAACGAACCCCACAATGAACATGAACTCATCGGTAGCGTTTTCATTAGGAAATGTTTGTTTATAAGTACTATGACCTGAGCTGCCATCAAAACCCCATTTACATTCTAATAAAATTTTCATACTGCAATTAATTTTGTTTAATGCTAATAAGCTTTTAGCTGTTACATTAAGCAAAGTTTGGAGCGGCACTTCTGCTGAAGATTCCGACACAAAAATAGGATTAGGTAGCAATTCTTCCTTTGCTTTCTTTATAAGGTGGTAGCTTGGAAAGCAATCAGGATGCATAGCATTTATCACCGACCGCAAAATATTATATTTTCTTACCGATAAATCTAAATCAAAACACAAAGCGATAGCTTTATTTATCGATAAGCGTTTAATTTCATCTGTATAATTTAAACGTTTTGCATCATGTGTAATTTCTTCTGGTGACTTCAATGATATAAGTTTTTCAACTTTACGTCTTTTTGTTCTATCACAGCTTTCAACATACGATTTTACAGGACGGCCCTTATTATTATATGCGTTATTACTTATTTCATTTTCACTTCTTAGAGGCTCCAAGGCAGCAGTTGTTGGTTCCTAATTTTGTGATATTACTTCAAGTTTCAGCAACAAGAAATAAAAATGTACTTACGTCTAAACATTTGCAGTCATCGTACCTAAACTCAAAATCAAGCCAGGCGGAATTCTTATTAATAAATTTAGTTCTCATCCTCGAACTATGTAACCACTTTCTTTTTAATTGTATTTCAAGAAAATTGATTTTCTTTTTGAGTTTTTGACTATTTAATTGAAAACCAACTCTTTTCAAAACAAATTCCATCATAATATTTATTTTTTCAACACGATTTTTTTCTGTTTCTGTAAGCCATAACTCAAAAAGTTCTTTAATTTTAATAATTGGTGCCACTGAAAAAATCACATTTCATTAAAAGTTGCAGCTAGATGCAAATAATTTTTAGATATTCTTTAAGTACATACTTGAATAAGTAATTTGTCAAAAAATTAGAAATATAAATTGATATAATTTTGAGAAAAAGACTTTTAAAGTTTTACTTTTATGAACTGATCACGCGCGCGAATTTACTTTTTTAGAATAACGGTAAAATGAAAATAGGAATCAAAACAAAATAAATCAAAGTGTTAACGGACTTACTAAATTATATATTTTACTCATATATGCATTTTATGCAGAGTTGTACCTAAAAAAAACTAATATATGGCTTGAAAGTGCATTGCTATAAACTTAGGTTTTTTCAAAAAAAAAATTAAGATCTAATTAGAGTGACTTTGATGAGAAGATGTGGTCCCATGCATAGAAATTTTTGAAAAATATTTCAGATTTTTCTTAGTAGAAGTATTACCTATCAATATGTAAACCGCTTTTCCAATTCCAATAACCTTCATTTTTTATGATTTTTGTCCGCACTCGTTACACTGTGCGCTGGCTCTTTTATAGTCAGTTTGTCTAACTGACAAATCCTCCTATCACGTTAGAGATCCTGTTACCTCTTCGTTTACCGTAGAATGTTTTTGAAAAGTTTTTACCACTTTCCTAGTTGGCTTTGCTGGGTTTTGTTTTGTGTTTATTTACTTGTTCGAGGGTGATGACCTCTACGAAAGCTTACTTTCTTTTTTTTTTTTCGTTCCAATAAAGTTAAAATTGGTCTTAAGGGTATCAGTTTATTATTTGTACTTGGCAATACTATATTTTTATGCCTAAGTCAAACTTTATTGGAGCTTTAGTGAAATTCGCCTTAACGATATTGAACAAACCAAGCAAGACTCGAACCGAAAAGCTTTACTAGTTTTGTTTACTTTTATTTTTATTAATAGCGTGCGCACAATGCACGTTGTAAATTTGCTAAACAAAAATTTTAATTCTGTAGTGAGTGTACAGAAAACAAGAACTTTATCGAGCGATTCGATATGTTCCTGCAAAGAAGTACTAAATATAATTATGTCGTCTAAGTAGACCAAACAGTCTTTACCAATAAGTTCCTCTAAGATTGTATTCATCAATCTCTGGAACGTAGCAGGGGCGTTTTTAACCCAAATGGCAGACGAAGAAATGTCAATTTTGTGTAGAGAAAGCAGTTTTTTCTCTACAATCAGGACTCATTTCAATTTGATGAAATCCTTTAGTGAGATCTAATGTAGTAAAGTACATACTTCTTCCTAGTTTATCTAATATCTCTTCCATATTAGGAATTCGGTATCTATCATCTACAGTAATGTCATTTAACTTTCTATAGTC